TATATATATATATATATATATATATATATATATATAATAATATATATATATATATATATATATATATATATATATATATATATATATATATATATATATATATATATTTATCTTAACATCATTTTCTTCATGTTCAGCTTACTAATTTACACTTAGTGAAACCACCCATGATTTTATAATCACTTTTATGAAATTATATCTGATAAAGAACAAAGAAAGGGTAGCATTCTGTTGTTGATCGTTTTATCATTATAGGAGAGATTAGTGTTCTGTTTAGCATTTGAAGAAAATTCAGCAGTATACTATTTGATCGAGAACATTTATAGAGCGGTGCAACTAGTGAGTGGGAATAATTAAACATAATAAGTAAAATTTTATGAGCATAAATCCATAGGTCTTTGGAGTTTCCTAAAATACCACAAATTTAATTATAAAAGTTACAAATTTAGAATTTTTTGGTCAGAATTAACAAACTGTTCATAAATTTTCAGACAATTTTTCTGATTACTTGCTTTATTGCTATCTATTACTATGCCTAAGGCCTTATTCCTTTGTTCTTATTGCTTCTGTTTTGATCACTTAAAGTGACTGATTGATTCCAAATGTATGTGAATTATGTAATCTACTATCTGTGCTGCATCTTGTCTTCTATGTTCTTTTCACTTACTATAAGTCATTCTTCATATTTTATAATACTTTTAAGCTCTCTTTCATAAAATGAAGCTGTTTTCTTTTTTTTTAAGTGAAGTTTAACTAAATGCTTGGAAGGATACTGTAGTCGTTAATTGCAGGGATATAATCGATTATAAAATATAATGCTTAATAGCCTTTTCAGCAATCTTTGATATTTTACGATACTTCGAAACAAATGAAACGATGATTAATGTTTCTTATTACCTTTAAACTTATGCCTTCAATAATTCTCCTTCATATCTCTTACCTGATTTCGCTTGCTTTGTCTACTTTTTGTCAGAAAAGGTCGTAATTCTTCCAAACGCTTATTTGAAATTCGTTTTGAGCTATTTTATATCTTCCGAAATCTTATTGCACATTTCTATTTGTTGTTCACTTCTCAGCTTTGCTTGTGAATTGAAAAAAATTTGTGAAATTGCGTTTTTAATGACGCAATTCTTAGGAGTATTTTGAAATTACAAATTCTGTTGATTCCCATCGGCATGAAACATTTTATTTCATTGTTATATATGATAACCTTTCAATAGTGAATTGAAAGGTGTTTTAGATTTTATTTTTCATAAAATATTAAAGTTGATAAAATGTAATGTGATTTTTTTTTTAATTAAAATATTTGCAAAACAATAAAAACTATAGGGTTTGTTCTACAGTAATTACTAGAAAATGATAAGGCAAAAAGGAAATAATCTATTCAAGAAATGGTTTTATGATAAGGAAGGAATGAGGAATGAATCAAAAAGATGAAGAAAAGCAGTTTGATCATTCGGACCTTCGTGCTGTTTGCTCTGTAATATATAGCAAACAGTTGTATGATTTTTTTTTTCTTAATCATAAGTTTTTCCTTAGATTGATATATGTTTTATATGGTTAATTGCTGTTGATCCTTTTGGAAGGCAATAATCTAACAAAATCATAAGTGTGTATATTCAATGAAATATATTTTTCATGAATTTCTTCAAAAAGATATTTCGTAACAATAAACGAAAAAATCAAACGAATTAGTTTGTTGCTTAAAAATTTCGAATAAATATTAGCATATTATCATCATTAGTTTCTTATATAATTTTAATAGTTTTCCTTTTAAATGTAACAAAATTGCCTTTCTCATAAGTGTTTTTTTTATTAATAATTTACAAAATTTTTATTATATTTCTTGCTAATTTCATCTTTAAAATCATTAAAATATCATACCAAACAATAATTACTTCCTCTCCTATATGTTACAAGAATTTAAATGAAAATTTTGTATAAAATTTAATTTCTTTATCCAATCAATTAAATAGTATTATCAGTGAATTTTATCATACATACATCAAAAGAATATTGGATAATATCACAAAAAGAAGTAAACTAATTATCGTAATTTCGTGAAAAAAAAAAAATTGCTAACAACGCTTAATATTAAGAAATAAATTGCTAAAGTCATTTAATATGGAGAAATAAATGGTTGAATGTTTTGAAACTTGAAGCAATTTGAAAGTTGCAAAAAGTTGATATATCGATTTGTCCCTTTTCCAGTAACTAATTCGTTCTTCTTCTTAATGATGTCAGACATCTGTTATACAATGTAAAACCAATTTGTCACTTTTCGCTTTTGGATGAGCAGACCGTAAGTTATATGCGTGTGTGTGTGTGTGTGTGTATATGTGTGTGTGTGTGTGTGTGTGTGTGTGTGTGTGTGTGTTAGG